ATTATTTCAGAGCGCTTTGTAAAAATTTCTTTTTTCTGTTTTAGCATTTGTTAGTGCATTATGTTACATTTGTGTGGCGTAACAATTATTTCAAAATGCCCACAAGCAAAATAAACAGACTTTCGTGTATGTTAAACCACTTCTGCACATGGCTATCTACCATCGCACAATAAAATCACAAATGTGCGAGAAACTTCCACTTCGAGAGGAGAAAATTGCCTTCTGCATGCGCTAGGTGCTCCCAGGTGCGCTCAGGATCGGGCTCGGATCTCACGGCTTGCACGATTTTTTATCAAGCGGCCACGCTTGGTGACGGCTGCGCTCTCGAAAGCGTCTCTGCCCTCAGATATTTTTCAGTCAAAACTTAAATAAAGCCTATTTTGTAAAAAGAAAACACACTGTGCACTACAAAATATGTTCTGTTAGTTCATTAGTTCTGACAAATGAATTCTTACAAATCTCCATCCATCTTTACTTGATAATCAAGTAAATAAAACAAATTAAATGTTTTTCAGCAGCATCTGTTTTGTGATTTTTGGCACTTCAACTCAAATTAAATCATCTCCTGTTTCTGCATCAGCGGCTGTGACTCCTTATATGACTCATCTGCCTGCTTACCCAACACCAGAGGCCAAACGGCAGAAAAGGAAGGAGCTGTAGCCCTGGACGAAGGATGAGAAGAAGGCGAACACGCTGTTTATAGAGAGCGAAATGAGGAGCGTCTGTCTCCGACCGATCCGATCAGCCAGGCCGCCCCAGACGAAGGCTCCAACCATCATCCCCAGGTACACGATTAAACCTGAGGGAGGAGGTAGGAAAAGTCAGCTGATCGGTAAGAGATGAGAGAGAGAGAGAAATGACTGGAAGAGATAATGAAGACGAGGACATATAACAGATTATTCTTCTCCAACAAAACATACTTTCACTCTCATTAGATTTCTAATGTGCTTTAAATGACCTCCTTGGGAAACCTTAATGGAATTCCAAAAAGATTTGCATAAATTATGAAACTGGAAGAACAGTAGGAGATTCCTCAGAAAAAAGCAGGAGTTTGTGGAGAACTTTAGAAGTCCGTCTCTTGTCTTATGATGGACGTTAAAATATGAGTTTATTAATCAGCGCCTTAAAGATTTGTGAGGCGTTTTATACAAATTGGACGAAAATAAGCTTCACTTCCATCCACCTGTGTAGCAAAGAGGACTATGTTTTTGGTATTTGTTTTGTTTCAAAAATAAAATTATGCTTTTATTACCAAATATTGGTAGAGATCCCAAAATATTACTCCATTAAAGGAATAGTACACCCAAAACATGATTAGCCTTCATTTTCTACTCACCCCCATGCTGAACAACACTCTGGAGTACTTTTTGATATCTCAAATGCATCTGGAGATCTGGGAGGCTTCTTGCTGTCTGCTGACATTCAAATAATGGAGATGCGCACTTTCATCTGGTTTGGTCTGCCGCGGTTTCCGTA